TTGTGCTTAACCTAAGGTTTAGATGCTTGATCACCATCTTAATCTAATTAATCGATTTTGAAACCGAAAGGGGAGAAATTGTTAGATCTAGGCTCGTTAAGGATAGACTTGTTCGGTAACGTATTGTCAATGTGCTAATTGATTCGTTAATGATTTGTTTATGTTTATTCTCCTGTTTCGTGAGATATTGAGTATGAATCTCTAGATAAGTTAGTTTTCGAGTCCTTTAGTCGAGTAATTGATTGCTCATTAAATGTATTGAGAACCGGAAGCAATATCCCCGATACCCTAGCCTCCTTATTACTATTGAATTCGTGTTCGGAGTAGTGAAGTTGATATAATTAGCATAATTTTCATACTCGTAGTTGATAGAATCAAACCAAATCAATTGGAATTAGACTGTTAGGACTTATTTCTTATTTTTTGTGTTTGGATAATCCAGCAATTTATTCCGACTGACCTTCCTTGAGATACGACCCAGTGTCGAATCTGTAGATTCTACTCCGGTAAAAATATTTACAACAGAGTCTTTAAGTCTCTCTGATTTGGGAAATTGTAGAGGGCCCATCTAGCCCTCTACAATTCCACACCGCAACTAACATTTAGAATTTGGGTGCCACTCTAGGCTGGCATCCCCCACTGCCTTGTCAAGATTAGCTTTCTGTTTCTTTCTTTGGTTGTGGCCACCTTAATTTCCTCATCCTCAGTAGATTCAATCTCTTGTTCCACTCTGCTTCTTTTAGAGCCAGGAGCTTTGAATTGAACAATGGCATTATGTTCAATTCTTTGGAGCCTTCCTTCTTTGGAAATATCTCTCCTCCATGTTGAAACTTTAGGAATGACGAAGTCTCTGGTTGTTTCTGCTTTCACCTAATTAGGTAAGGCAACAGTTACTTCCAGTTCCATTGTTGGGTACAAATTATTCTTTTTTTATCGAGTACCGAATCTAAAGATACATTGCCCGGGTCGATCTCACGAGGATGGCTGTTCAGAATTTAGTTCTGATATCGATAACACATAAAAAGAAAGAAATCCTAAACATACTAATCAAATAAGGATGGATGAATTATCAGCTAAGAAATAACATAAAAATAATAATCTACCTAAGAAGATAAATGAAACAATGAAAAAGAAGCTAGGGAGTCGGGGATAATTAATTCAAGTTCTAGCAAAACCGGGCAATCAATTGTTCGGTTCAAAATTGACACTCTCGCTTAGACATCTAGCGGTTCGCTCCCAATAACTCTTCGTAACAAGGGATTGAACATAGACGAACAAGTTCGAGCATACGACACAGGCCAATTATCCCAATCCCAATAACTTTTCGTAACAAGGGACGAGTCATTAACAAGTGGGTATTTCAATCTAAAACACGTAGATTAGTCAATTACGACATTGTCTACCTCATGTGAGCCTAAGTCTACGACTTTTCCCCTTTCGGTTCAAAAAGTCGCTAATTCAATTAGAAGGGTATTAACCGACTAATCACATAGAATCAACAAAATCCTAACTCAACTAATCAACATTCAATTGTTACCAATTGCAAGATCGAAGTGTCACTCTTCGATTATATCAATCAATCAAGCAAGAATATATCAATTCCTAATTAAAACAAATCACATAAGTATGAACGAATCGAAGCCCGACAAGTACAATTCAAACAAAACAATCATCCATTATCCCTAGCAATCGGATTTAGCTACGAATATTAAATTCAACAATCATGATCAATCCTCTCAAATAATCATTATTCATGAATCAAATAAGAGAAATGAATACTTACAATCAATCCAAGTTCTAGGTGAATTCAAAATACAAGCTAAACCCTTGATAATAATGAAAAGAAGAAGAAAAATGGAGAAAAGAAAAGAGAAGAGAAGAAGAATATGAAGGAAAGTGAAGGGGGGAGGAGATTTTTGGACCTAGGGTTCCTCCCCCTTCAAGCTGGAAGTGAAAAGAATGGAGAAAAAACGAGTTTTGGGGCTTTTTATACTATTCTAGGACTTGCAGGGGGTCATAGCGCCGCTACGACCATAGCGGCGCTTTGGGATGAAATGCTCGAGCCTCTGCCCATCGCTTTGCTATGTAACGCCGCTATCTGGGGCCATAGAGGCGCTATGTCCATAGCGGCGCTATGGCTTGGGCAGCTTTGCACGATTTCACTGTTTGGGCTCGTTCGGGTTCGTTTGGACTCGGAATTCGATTCTTCTTTTTCCTGTGTGTTGCCAACGAACTCCTCTATTTAATTATGCTTGCACAATAAGCTTTTGTCCAAAATTATGTCCTCTTGAAGCTTCAGACCTACACACCATAAACAAAGAAAAACGGAAAAACACACAAAAACACAAGAAAAAAAACTGAAATAGATCAAAACACGCAATAAACTACAAAAACGAATAAAACCCAAAGAAAAGACTCAATATGGGGGAAAAAGAAAGACAAAAAGACAACGAAAAATGCAACAAAAATGGGACAAACATCCATCATGTTAGGAAATTCCTGAATTTGTTGGTCTGTAGTGATGAACTCCAATGATGGCATAGTTTTGACAGCTTCTGGCTCAGGACTGGTATAGATAACTGGAGAAGAAGAAGCCTGAATCCCTGAAGTAGAAGTGCCTGCCTCTATCTAGAATCCCTCAATTTGGAGTCCTTGGTCTTGCTGGTGTTGAGGGCTCTCTGGTTGCTGAAAAGAAGCACTTGTGTTTTGAAGGTTATCAACATCAACAAGATTATGATCTGGCGAGGGATATTGCTTGGATCTTGAATAGCTAGTGCATGTCCAAGCATTGTTCTTTGATCCACTCACCTTATTGACCATCCTTGAGAGTGTGTTGTTTAATATCTGTTAGCCTCTTACCACAATTCCTGTCCATATGACCTATTAGTAGCAAAGGTTGACGAGTTTTTCATATTTAAACCCAACCTTTACTACTTGGTCCCCCAATCTGATGTTGGTGCATCTCGAAATAGTTACATCAATATTAACTGTAACCAAAAGTTTGAGGATTTTGCCTCCATGGTGTCCAGCATTCACCAACACTACATTATTAACTTGAGGAAAGACTTTGCCTATTTTGAGTCCAACCTTTGTACTTAACCAGTCCAAGGGGAGATTAATTACCTGGGCCCAGATGTTAAGCTCTTGAAAGATTGGATGATTAGGAGTGAGGCCCGGTACCCATTCCTTAAGGATTAAGTACTGATTTTCGAAGATCCAGGTGCCCCTGGCCACCTTCTCACATCATCACGACTAAGGAACAAGAACTGAAAGAAATTGTGTCCCAGCTCTTTAACCCCCATCGGCCTCTGCAATTTCCAGATGTTACTCATGGTGCGTTTAATCCCTATCCAACTCGCTTTACGATCACCCACTACCCTTCCGAACAAACTCCGGTGGCATTCGTCTGCACTCAGGTGTATGTCGTTGTGGGCAATGTGTACCACTGAGCTCTCTCGATCAGAGAATGAGAAGCTTTGAAAAAGATTAGCCAAATCCTCGTCACGCCCCACATGCTCCACCATAATCCGAATAGAGCTAAAAATGAAAGAGAAAATGAAAAGAAAACCCCTACCAGAAACCGGTCTCACAGGAGATAATCGATCGCCGGATCGCTCTCACAATAGAGAATTATATTATAACTAATTTTATTTTAATAAATAAGAAATATATAAATATATTTAACTTTAATTGAGTTTTAATGCACTCTACCATAATAAGTTTTATCTCACTTTAGTTTAATGTATTTTTAATATAATATATTATCTATTTTAATATATTTTAATTGTTATAAGTTTATATATTAATAGTATAATTAATAGAATTTACATTATCTTAAAATATAATTTATTTATTCGTACGTAATGTCTATATATATTAAACGCTATTAAATTAGCATACAATGTGGATATGTGTGGTGGATACAATGCCAATATGCCTCGAGATCACAACTTCGAACCCCATCAACATTTTATTTTTTATCGCGATGTCAACAGAAATTGTCATATTATCAGCCATGTCAGCAGAAAATTGCCCTGTCAGCAGCCATGTCAGTAGAGAAGGACCGAAAGTGGGCCATGTGCATCGAATTTCCAACAAAGTGGTGCATATAATTGCAAATTCTGAAAAGATCATGGTTTTATTAACAATTAAGTCAAAATTAAAACAATGTCAAAATATTGGATGAGTCCCACAAATATATGTATTTAATTGCATTAACCAATGTGACATATGTTTGAACGGAGAGATGTTTAATAAAATGATGATGTGGACATTGTGTGGATGAGAAAGATTGTAACTGATGACTACATAAGCAAAATTGAATGCGGATGTCCTTATGAAAGTGATAGTGAATTAAAAATATGCGAGTGAATGAATAATAAATTAAAGTTAATGTGATGTAGGAGAGAGATGATTGATGTTATTTAATTGTGATGAATTTTGAACTAAAGTGAGTAAAAAGTTATCCATGTAAATCTAATTTTGATTACCATTCACCCCCTAAATCTTTCCATGATGAAGCACTTCAAGACCTTTCACATCTTTTATTTTGAGTAAGATATTCTTTCCATCGTTCATACATCAAACTTGAGCCAAAATTCCAACTTCTTGACCTTTTCTAACACTAATTTGATGTTTGAGATATTTTGTTTCCATTGTTCAAAATTGAACAAGAATTCAACATCCCCGCTTAATTTAAGCTACTAAGTATTGTCTGCAAGATCCTGAGTTTGAAGAATTGGGATGAAACAAAAATCCAGATTTTAACCATAACATCATGGAAGTACTAATATCAAATATCAAAATGCATTCTGGAAATGATCATTCTCAGCTCAATACTCAGTTGGGTCAAAACCACTGGTACAAACAGGTGAAACAGTATCTTTTTCCATCAAAGAAAAAAATTGCAGACACCAAAGACAAGCGAACAATAACAGCTACAAAAAAATTCAACTCATGACTCGAAAACTAGATTATAACGGTGGCTACAGTTGCAAGATTCACATCCCTGTAAAGGCCTTCTTTCCTCGACCAGAGGAACCGGCTGGTATCACTTTAAGGACATTGAACCTCACAGTTTTTGACAATGGCCTGCAGAAGGTGATTTATTAGAGATCTAACGAAATCAGACTTCCAAATTGAGGAAAGTGAATAGATGGTTATTCAAACCCCTAAGGTTCAACTTTAATTAGCATTCATGTCTAAAATGATCAAAACAAAGATAATCAGACGACAAAGTAGAATTGGTAGAGTTGAAAGATAGTATTTTTGAGTGAATAAAAAACTAGCCTGCACTGGCCGATGATGACATGGTCGCCCTCTTTCACACGGAAGCAAGGGGATATGTGAGCTGCAATGTTTGAGTGTCTCTTTTCATACCTACAGAACAACAATAATCAATTGCAACTAGAACATCCAAAACATGCTATTTTGTAGCATTCCTAAAGGGGAATCATCATACCTTTGGTACTTCTTCACCCAATGGAGGTAGTTCCTCCTAACAATGATAGTCCTCATCATCTTAGCACTGTGGCAGGTGCCAGCAAGAATACGACCTCTGATGGATACACTGCCAGTAAATGGGCATTTCTTATCAATGTAAGTACCTGCGCAAAAATATAAAAAGGTACGCATTTGGAATCATCAGTCTACAGAAAGTATGACAATGACAGGATATCAATATCAGAGAACTTTCGATGTTAATTATCTTTGCCTGATTTCATAACATCATATACCATGGTAAATATGCAACCTTATTTATGTTGCCCAACCATTCTGAAAATTCCAATTAATTGACAACCCCGTGTTATCCAAAAGTAGAAAAGAATAGGACGATAATGCAAAAAAACAAAAAAAAAAATCAAACTGTTGATGGCAAGTTCAAGAGGGGTTTAAAGTAAAAAATTGTTGTGCCAACAAGTACAGGATTCCATTTTGCAAAAAGGTTCCAGGAAGCAAAAATATATAAATACACACAACAAAATCTAAACTCCATTTTAGTAGCTCTGTTTCTTCACAGTACTACACTTGCAACAAAGTATAAAATGAAAACAGTAATTCAACACATATATGATGAAAACTGATCTTTGACAGTTTATAAATAAAGCAAAGTAAATAAATAGAAATAATGGTAAAAGAGTGGAGAATTAGAAAAGGAAAATTTATCATGATGGGTAGCTTATAACAGCATGCTATAATACAATAATACTATTAACTCCACCAACAAAATTTTGCTTTGGATTAAATTGACACAGAAGTTCATCCATGATGATACCAAAGGGAGCATATGTCAATAGAAGATAGCATATTTAAAATGCAACAAGTATCACAGGATAAGTCTCAGTTACCAAGAAGTGAAGGTAAAACTAACAATCCCACTAGCCAGATATGTACAAAAGAAGCTCAAGTGTAAGCAAGAGCCAATTACATCTAACTTAAACTAGCCAATGGATTGAATTCTCATATCAATAGTTCGACAAAAACCAAATTAAAAGATATACAAACACGTGCCATATAAACAACACATTTCACAGCTCAAAGAATGTGATGGAGAGAATCATTTACAAATATCAACACACAGAGTATTTCGACAAACCATAACACAAAAATACAAGAAGAAAATTATATCAACCAAATCACCCATCATAGCAGAAGCAATATAGGACATCAATAAACACACGAGAGACAAGCTACAAGGAGATAGCATCACCATCAAACAAGAACAACACAGACGTCCAACTCACACAACGAAATGGATAATAAGTCCAAAAGAGAACCCCGCACACGCACAAAATGATTACATGCCCACACCTTCAATCGCCTCGCGTGGGGTTTTGAACCCCAACCCAATGCTCTTCCAGTAGCGGTTGCCGCCCTTCCCCGGCGCTTTGCCCTTCCCTGACTTCTTCGAGCTGCAGAACCCAAATTTCTCATCTCAAGACGATTATAGTCGAATCGAGCCTTGCATAAACAAATGGTGTTAAATCTTACCAGAGGAACACCTTTGGCTGCTTGAGAAACGCTTTCTCCGTCTGCAACTCAAAAATGACCGATAAAAGTTATACAGTGAATAGATCGAATTAGAGTTGGCGAATGCGATAAAGGCTACAGATTCACCTGTTCCGCCATGACTGTCTGGCTGTGAAGCACGGGTGACTGCTTGACAATAGAGGAGTTCGATATTTGCACCGAAAACCCTAATTCCTTACTATTATGCCCTCTAGGCCTGGGAGGGGATTGGGCCACCACGCCAGTCAGGTCCAATGTTTTAAGAAAAGAGGAATTTACATGCTCCACTTGAACAATCTAAAAATATTACATAATTACACTCTCTATATAATTATTTACAAATTAACTAAAATTGTTATATATATTTGCATATATGCCTAAAAAGTTGATTTCCTAATTATATGGTAACTTCTCACCTATTTACATGGTAACTTCCTATCAACTAGGTCTCTTTCCTCTCCCTTATCTCTCTCTTCTTTCACACGGAGAATACAATTCTTTGTTCTTACGTTTTTTTTCTTTTTAATTTTTTATAGGTTGATGAAAGCTAATGAAAGCATCGATTATTTTTTGAGATTTTGGATGATGAAGGCTAATGATATTTTTCATCCATGTTTGTACAGCTTAAGAGGAAAAGGCACAACTAAGTTTGTAATTGCATCCATATTTGGTCGTATCATCCATCTAGATTTGTATAGTTTTTTTTTTTTATTTTTTTTCAGGTACAAAATCATGTGTATGTTTGTAAAAAATGCGTCTTTAAATTTGTAAATTTCTTGAGATTCTGGACGATGAAGGCTATTGATATTCCGTATTGAATTTCTTCTTTTGTGGATCTTTCTCCATATTTGAAAGCATCGATTATTTCTGTTTCATGATTCATGATCGCAAGGTGATTGATTTTATTTCTTTGTGAAATCACATTTCTTCTTCTTTATGTACAGTATACCTACGGTATATGTACAGTATATGTTCACGGCAGTATATGTTGTGTGTATAGGCATGCAGTATATGTGGCGTGTATAGGGAGTATATGTTCAGTATATTAGAAGGTTTTGTTGTACACTGTTCAATATATGTTACGGGTATATAGAGTATATGTTACGTATATTGTATTGTATAGAGAGTATATGTTTGGTATATTATAAGATTTTTTTGTATAAAGAATATAAGTAACCAGTTATACATGTTTTTCGTTGCAACATATACTGAATATATAATAACATAAACCTAATATATACCACCTGACGGCTGCGTGAATTACAATACATGTTTTTATTTCTCTCCCTTAAAAAAACGTACAAGCTGCGGGAATTAAGGAAACGGTTGATTTTTTATTTTTTATTTTTGGAAAAGACTGATTTCATTCCATATCAATGAAGGCAATTTTTTTTTCTTTTATGGAAATGGCGGAAATCATGGGAAGAGAAAGTGGATAGGATCCTCTTTTTAGGTAACTGAATTTTAGGCATAAATGTAGTTAAATCTTGACAATTAGGTAAAGATACAATTATTTGTTAATGGATGGTAGATTTGTAAAATTTTTAATTTCATGTAGGATAAGTGAAAATTTCCCTTAAGAAAATTACGCCGGGCCTTTTCGTATTGTTTTTCAATTCTATCAAAGGAAACTTTTCTTTTACTCCTAAATACAGTATATAATCTTTTAAAAAGAATTTCAAAAACAATATTGGTCCTGTTATAAAAATTAAAACTATATAGAAAGAGAGAGAACACAGAGAATGTTTTCTATGAATTTCATTACAACTGAAACTCCTATTTGTAGGAAACTTTTGATGGCAAAACTTGTAATAGTACAAATACATCTAGGGCAAAATAGTCATTCGCTTATACAAAAAAAAAATTGTGTGGTTTATAACACTCCCCCTTAAATGGCTATTTCATAAACATATTTTAACTTATTTGAACAAAGCTTAATCTGAGCACAACATTGTTCCCCCTCAAATAGATCATCTTTGGTGGAATATCCATGTGTTGCCCCGTTAAAACCTTGTCAAAAAAATTCTTTCGTCGCGCGCGAACTGCTGTCGCGCGATAAACGCGCGGCCAGTTGCGGCTTCACTCAGTGACGCATCGTGCCATGGCCATCGCATGCGGCACACGCGACATGCATGCGCCGGGGAACATCCACCCAGCCCTTCGGTCTCCACAACGCCGCGTTAAGCCACCCGAGCACCTGCTCGCCCGCGGCTTCCGGCAGCGAGCTACCAAGCCACGCGAGTTGCCTCGGTGGTTCGCTGGTTGTCGCCTCGGGCCCGTGGCCGGTCGAGTCGTCGAGGTCTTCAGTTGTCTCGTGATCTCCCAGTCATCAACACACGATCACAACAAGAACAATATAATTTATAAATTACATGATCTGATCCTAGACCCAACGAGTGGGTTTACACCTTTGTTTAAACAAATAATTAAATTTATCTGGTGTTTCACTTGGTTAATAATAATTACAACCATTCAACCATAAAAAACTCTGATTTCACAAGTCAAGCTAGAAAAGACGGTGTGTTACAGTATGGTATTAGCGGCAGTTAGAATTTTTTTATACTCAAAAAGTTTTAGAAAAGCATGACGCGCCACGCTCACGCCGCGTTGACTCCTAGGTAACTCACATAAACCAGTTCCATTATTGCAAGTGCATGAGCATATAACAGGATATCTTAGGGGCATAGGATCTATCCTCCGAAAGAAACCCTAGTCATAATTTTAGAAAGTTAAGCTAAGTCTTAACTCTAGACTAAATCAGATTTCCACCTAGAAACTAGAAGAGTCATCTATAGCCATGCTGTCGTATAACGGTTCAGACATTACCGAGTCGACTTATCTAAAGTTGACTCTTTCTGCGGACTCCTTATAATATCTGCGATCTATAAGGGCCCAGGCGTCTCTCTCAGTCAACTTCCATGTGTCGACTAGCAGAAGTCGACTCCCTCTGGAAAGATGGATAAGCGCATCAGGGTCTACTGACGATTGAAGATGACCCAGTCTACTCGAGTTGATGTCCCGAGTCAACTGAGGAAGTCTCGAGGCTCATAGATCCCCGAAGACTCCGGTGTACTTCGACATATCATAAGGAAGCTATTAAGGATAATAAGGAATCTAGATGCTGACTAGGAGATGGACGGAATGCGAACTGACCAGGGTATATTGGATATTTCCAGTAAGTCGGCTGGGGCATTTTGGAAACTTCTGGTAAATGTTTTGCTTCTATATAAAGGAGCTGAGGTAACCCCAAAACCCTAACTCACATTCATTCTATACTCTCCTCTATTACTGCTGCTGCTCTCTCAGAGCAGCTCTCTTTATCTCTTTCACATATTAACTTGAGCGTCGGAGGCTCTACACCGGAAACCCCTCTGGCGTTGAGTTCTAGCAGGTGTTCTCGCGGTTCAGCAACGGCTTGAAGGCGATCGAGGCAGATCTGAGCTAATTCCCATCGGTTCATTTCAGATCTGAGCTTGTTTCCATTGATTCACTCCAGATCTGAGAAGAGACCCATCATTTTGGCGCCGTCTGTGGGGAGCTCTTGAAAGAATTAAGGGCTTTACACCTAGCTTTGATCTGTCTTTGATGGCTGAGAAGGAAGGACTGGAGAAGAATTTGAACGAGGATTTCAGGGCAATGTGGACTAACAAGCGGCCTCACCGATTCCCAGCCCCAGACCACTGCTCCAAGTGTTTGGCTTCCCACCGTTCCACACGCGCCGTCAGGAGCGCGTGTGGGGGAGGAGACACCCATCACCCCACCTGGGGTCAAGATCCCAGTGCTCACCCAAGGGGGGGGGCCAGCCACGTGAAAGCACGAGCGGAGGAGTCGATGGTCATGAATCAACCGAAACATCTCTGAGTTTGGGGAGGCAGCCCAGACAACTTGGACAAGGAGCAAGGCCACCACCCCAAGTCGAGGAGCAAACACTAACCATGACGAGAAGCGAGATGCAAAGAATGATTGCAGAGGCAGTGGCGGCCCAACTCAAACAGACACAAGTCGAGCAACTCAGAGTCGACCAACCCAGGGTCGAGCAACCCAGGGTCGAGCAACCAAGGTTCGAGCATCCTCGGATTGAACAACCTCCCCATGAGCGCGAACAACAAGCGTAGTCCCATGAAAGACAGAGTAGGAGGGCGGATGAAGAAGAGTCTTCTGTCAGAACTGTCAATCCACAAGCAAGGAACGATACTCTGGAACAATTGCTGGCTAAGGTGCGAGATTTGCAGGCTCGGGTCGAGGAAAGAAAAACGGGGAGCTCGAGGGGACACCCCTTTTCACAACACATTCTAGACGCTGACCTACCCCAGGGGTTTAGAGAGCTCAACATCTGGTACGATGGGTCGACTGATCCCTCTCGATATCTGAGGAGTTCTGAAAATATGGCAGTGTTGCATCGGTACAATGACCCCGTTCAATGTCGAGCGTTCTTGACGATTCTGCGGGGACCTGCACAAGAGTGGTTCCATCAGTTACCCCCGGGAGCCATCAGGGATTTTGACGGGTTTAGCTCGAGTTTTCTAAACCAATTTGCAAGCGTGAAGGCCCAAGAAAAATCTTATCTTACTATGATAGGCATGCAACAGAAGGAGGGAGAAATCGTTGCTAGATTATGTGGCGAGGTACATGCGGGCATGTGTCGACGTACCTTCAGCCACCAAGGAGATTAAATCGGGTGGACTCACCAGAGGATTGCTCCCAGGATTGTGCAGAAACTCCTTGGCGAAGCGACCTGAAAGGACTTTTGATGAGGTCTTGGGGAGGTGTGCCAAATATATGAATGTTGAGGAAGCAGAAGCCGATTTCTTGCAAGTGGCAAAAGAGAAAACCGAACCCCGAGAGGAGAAGAAGGATAAGAAGTCGAGTTCGACGGTAGAGAGGAAGGGATCCCCGAGAGTAGAGAGAGGGGCGGTCGAGAGGGTGGAGGCCTACTCAATACACCCCCTTGTCGGCTCCACAAGCAAGAATATTGGAGGTAATGGAGAAGGAGATCCGCGACAATGTTGTCCGGTGGCCTCGAACGAGAAAGGATGGACCGACGAAGCCCAAAAGCAATTTGTATTGTCGATTCCACAAGTATTATGGGCACAACACCGATTACTGCAGGCACCTCAAAG